TTAGTATTCCAGACGGACAACCAGGCGGTCGGCGGGATTTTATCCCTTTGTTGTCGATTCCACTCATTCAAACTAAATGGTTTGCTTCGCTATGTACAGCAAAGGAGTGCAATATTCTATCGTTCCGTTCGATTACAATCTGGGCGTCAAAGCAAGAGATAATAGATTTGTGTTATGCTAGTACAGAGTGATTACAATTAGGGTTTCATGACCACTTATCACTAGGTAGGATTGTAGTCAACATCTGCTAACTTATTATAAAGTAAAAATAAAAACAATAAATATACATGCAAATCGTGTCATACATAACAGCAAAGCTTCGTGTATATACGGTTCACACGCTTCATTATTAAGTAGGATAGAGAGAAGGATAGGATAATCCAAGCTTGCTACCAATTTCGTTATTCCTGGTTAATCTAAGTTCTTAAAATTTCATAATACAAGTGATAAAATTAAAAATTTTGTAAAACCGACTTAACGCACAACAAATTGACAAATTAGATCATCATCAATGTATTCGAAATCAATTAAATACGCATTATTAAGCATAACTCAAAAACTAGTCAGACCTTGATTAACTTTATATTTTAAATTTATATGGGAGAATGAATGTTGTGTTTTGAATGTACGAAACCGAATGTAGGTCATCACAGCTGGCCGTATGCGAAAAAATAAAGTCGCTCAACGAACTGCGATAAGAGCTCAGAATTTTTTGTGATAGAATCCGTAACGAACATATAATCCACAGTTTAAGTGGCAATGAGCCATTTCTATAGCTCGAAGAACTGAATCCCTGTGGAGATAAAAGATTTTTGCTCCTTGAATGGCAGCGTCATACCAATGCGGAGCACGGCGCCCAACTATAGGAAAATTATCTAGTAAGTGATGCAAAGTGATGAATAAAAAGCACCGACGCTCCGGGAAGTCTGCAGTCTGCGAACATGTTCAAGATCGTCCCCACCATTACATTAGATTTGATAAACCACAAATTCTCGCAAAAGAACACCGATTCCTACCAAGGATGATACGCGAGGCTATTGAAATTAAAAAACATCCAAATTTCAATAGAGAAGATGGTTGGGTGCTACCATCTGCTTGGGATCCTATAATCAACAAAATTAAACCCAAACCCAAGCATACCACTGCAAGACTTCATGATACTATAAGCTCGTTTTGCGTAAATCGGACCAAAAATTAATATTAAAAAACTGAAGGTAGCCGGACTAACTATGACATTGGGACGTCAAACATCTCAGTCCCCCCCCGTGACCATGGGCGCTGTAAAGCACCCGAAACGTCGGGATAATAATAAAAATAAATTAAAGATATTAAACGCGATAAAATCCGTAAATAATAGTTTTATTCAATGTGTAGTGTTCGCGTAAATTTAAGAAATCATAGATAAATAAAACTCTCAATTATTTAAATAAATGAACTACTTAGTAGATTTTATGTTATAAAAATTCATGGAACGCATAAGAAGTAAATAAAAAATATATATATTTTAAAATAAATCATATTGTCAGCCAACAGCAACGTAGTCCGTCACGATGCAACGTAGACCGGTCACGTCGGCACCAAACGAACTAACACGACGGACAGAAAGACGGCAGCTGTTGCTGTTGATACTCGTTGAATGACCCAAGCTTGTCTGTGTAGTACTTTGTTACTGCTTGAACGAGTAGGGGAGTGAAAATACTTATTAGTAATCTACCCTCACTCTTAACACAAAATAGATGGATACATGTGACCCAGAATTGTGTTTAGGGGCAGTTTTTAGAGGTAGCTCATGTTTAACAGAGAATTTGTGATGAGTTGTAACGATGACGATGTTTTATTCAATCTCAATTCTGTGACAATATTTCAGATTCAAAATTACTCCCCACCATGGATTCGAAGGTGAAGGTAACTGTCGTTAAAAAAGAGAAAACAGTCTGTGTGAGAAAATATGATATAAATATATTTCGAGGACTTATCAAGAACATCAACTCGCACCAGAGCTACCTGACGGGTCCTTTCAGATTAATAGCACATCAATGCCGTAATGCAATATATCAAAATTTATTTTTTAAATGTATTGTTTTTCGCAAAACTAAAATGACCATTAAACTTACAGCCCACCTTATGGTAAGCGGCTACTGCAGTCCAAGGACATCCACAGCCAACTTCAAACAGAGAAGACTACGGATAAGTTGTCACCTCTGAGAATTGTGATTGAATGCCTCACCGTCTGTACTTAAACTGGCTCACTTTACTCTTCAAAAAAGACCAACTGCTTGGCGGCAGCAATAGACCCGCCCAGACTTATTTCAGGCAGAATAGGATCTTACCACTTAGTAAATTTAAAAGTGTTATAGAAATTAAAATGTTATAGATAAGTTATAAATAGTTACAATCTAGCTAGCAAGAGATTAAGTATTTCAAGTTTAAAATTTATTACACCCACAGAAATCGTGATAATATGTCTTATTATTACGATTTCTGTGATTATACCTCATAATTTTTTTTATAGAATAAGGGTGACAAACGAGCATACAGTCCACCTGATGGTAAGTGAGCCCATAGATATCTGAGGACTAAGATGGAATGCTTTGTTTCCAGTAAAACGGGTCTTCGGTTCTCTACACTCACCATACGAAACACAGAAGCATTAAGTCGCACTTAACGCTGGTATTCTGTGAGAATGTGGTCCTTCCCCGAACGAGCTGACCCATTCATGCTACAACCATAATATAGCTACAGCGTGGCTCTACCACTAAATAATTACTTAATTGTGATCATACAATGCACCTTCTGTTTTAATTTTTAGATATAAGACGCGCTAAGAGAAACTATAGACAATTAAATACCACTGTTCTAATTTTTGAGATTTAAGATCTAAGTGAAACTTTAAAAATGACGTTAAAATTCTAAATACTTTTTCAATTTACATCATATATTAAATTTTATTTACTTTCATAAGTCAATTTCCCTTCCTTTGTTATTACAACTACTAGATGAGTCATCGAAAAACATGTATCATTTCGTATGAGTGCATGACGTCATCTTTTTAATCAAATATTATGTTACACATCTATAATCATATAAGCTATACATATAATAAATCTGTGGAAAAATTGTGAGTTCAAGATTCTCGCAAAAACTATTGGAGGGATTTCCATGAAATTTAGTGTGTAGGCTGTAAATAATTGTGTATAACATATATGCAACTTTATACCGTAATTTTCCGTAAGCTGATAACAGCTTATGGAAAATTAAAAAAGAAGGGTTATGTTTTTCTTTTTAAAAGTTTATTGTCATAACGGTTGCTGATATTTCTTTTAGAGGATTTCGCTATACGTATTATAAGTCGATAGAAAAGCGCGCGTGTGTGTGTGCATGAAAATGTCACATCGCGCCGCCAATCAGAAGCCAACTAGTACTACAACTACAAATATAACATTATCTACAAAAATATAAATAAAATAGAAGTGTATGTATTTATTATTAAAATGATTGCAACTTATTGAGCTGAGGGCTATTTCCATGCCATTAAAACATGAATAACCATTTTAGAAATTTTCCTAGATTCGATCCTAGGCGAAAATGTATCGACCGAATTGGCGATTTATTGAAAACGGGCCAAATTGGGAGCACCCTTAACCGACGAGCACGTATGCGTAGGTATATGGATGTGAAGGAGACAAGAGAGGTGTGTCAGGATCATAATGGAATCTAAATGGAAGTCTGTAGTCTCTGCCTACCCCTCTGGGTGACAGGCGTGAGTTTTTATGTTATGTAAATTTTCTGTATGCCTATCTTTCCTTCTTTCCGGGTTAATCTGGGGAATGGCTGAACCAATTGTAATCAAAGTTGACGAACACATAGAGAGTGTGCCAGGAGGAATCTAGGCTATATTTCATCCAAAAGAACTTGTAAATATTTTTTTTGAGAAATCGAAAAATTTATAAAATAAATTGTATTTGATGGTTATCTTAAAGTTTAATTACGCTTAATATCCCACCCAGGCGAAACCAGAGCGGGTCGCTAGCTAACTTAAGTTAGCTAGACTCGTTTGTCGCCAAAACAAAGTAAGCAATCGTAAGCAGTAACTGCTTAAATTTGTGACATTACGCAATTACGAGGTTTATTTAAAACATAGTTGAAATCAAAATATAAACACTTTTATAAGTTATAATGTCCTCCAGACCGAATGTCGGTCACGGCGCCCTGCCTCAACGGTGGCTAGCCATCGGCTCAGGACAGGATTATAGTGCCCAAGTGTATGCGCCGCATTCTCTCATAATCCGATGGGACGGTAAACTGACACGACTGGAAAGAGATCAGGCGTAGGACCAACGGCTTAACGTGCTTTCCAAGGCACGGGGGTGAGACACTGACAACTTCCTGACTCCGGGCAGCTACTGAGAATTCCTGGACAGAAAAACTCAATAACTGATTTTTTTGGCCCGACCCGGGATTTGAACCCAGGACCTCACGATCAGCAGTCGCACTACTACAACCACTAGACCGTTACTGCTTATACGTCCGATAAGCTTCAGGCCTACTCTCAATAAGTATGGAGCCGTGCTGCTCTAGTGCGTCAGAGGACTACACAAGTCTTCGAAATATTTTAGTCCTCAAACTACTGAAAAAATCGTTATAGTCATCATCGAGCACGTGATAAATAAGCTCTTGAAATTGCTATTGAAGATTTCTTTGGCACCCACGGGAATCTAACTCAGTTTGTTTGCGTATTAAGAAAATAACATCACCGTAACCTATCATAGCAACCTTAGGCTTTAAAGGCTTATTTGCAACAGTCAGACAAACAAACAGTCATGTTAGAGAGAGCTAACAATATCAAACTAAATTTATCTTATCTTTGTTTCTGTTATCAACAGCCAGTTTAAGTGTTTCATAAGTATTTTCATCGTGCGGACGAATACAGTGTCTGTGCATTATTACGATTTTGATTTAATTCTTGTGATATTCTGTTGTTACTGCTAAATATTGGTGTAATGCAGTCCACTGGAAGTAAGTCCTATTATAAAAAAATTGATTTTACTGTGGCTAAGCATAAAAAGCATGTGTGATATTTACGCTGAAAATAACTTTGTTTTGTGGTGTGTTTTCTAACTTAACCTTTATTGTTGTCTATTGTCTTCAACTTATCAAGCGTCCATCCAAGCACTGGTTCTGTACATTCGCATAATCCGTTGACCAGCAGTCAAATTGGTAAGAATGGGAATGAATTATTCAAAATAAGCACGCCACAGTGTGCATTCTTGGAGGTGGTCAGCTCTTAGTTTAAATATATTGATAGTGGAAATAAGAATATTCGAATCCAAACAACAGTAAAACAGTAGCGATAAATCTCTCTTCGGTCGCACCTATCGAATTGCCGTCCAACGGATTATGAGAGTAAGGTATTTTTTAATAAAGAGTGCACACATGACACTTTTTACACACACTACACACACACACACACACACACACACACACACACACACACAAACACACACACAAACGCGCGCGCGCGCGACTGGGTTTACGTTGTAGAGCAAGGCTGCATGTAGCACAAAGGGGTCGGTTCGACCGGAGAAGGACCACACTGTCACAGAATACCAGCGTAAAATAGCAACTTAATGCTGTTGGGTTTCGTATGGTTAGTGTAGAGAACCGAAGACTCTTTTTACTGGAAACGAGACATTCCATCTTAGTCCTCAAGGGTCACAACGCATCTGCATATTGATTCGTAATCGATGGTGGATGTAGACGTCTACGGGCCACTGCAGCCATTTACCATTAGGCGGACTATGTGCTCGTTAATCACCCTTATCCTTAATTAAAAATATGTTCACCCGCGTAGTAGTGGCGTAAAAATATCCACTACCCCATATCATCCTTTAGATGAAGTAAGCGTCAGCGTCGGAGGCGTCAAAGGGGAAACATCAGGAAATTGATAGCAGCGTCTAACTAATAACAACTGAAGCGTAGCGTAGAAACTATCGGAAAAGCGTAGAAACTATGGCAAATTCCCCCCCCCTCATTTTAAAGGGGAGGCCAGTGTTCAGCAGTGAACTTTAATACACTGTAACGGTAACATTAACTTTATTACGCAGCCCAATACTGTTTATACCTCATGACAATAATCTTTATTATCTTTATTGATAAACATATTACATGCACAGAAGTGTACAAATCGTATATAAGTCGTAAACAGTCCCTGAACTAGCGGATATGAATACAGGTTTCAGGGGCTAGTTTTCTTCCCAATTATAAGTTCTATTTACAACGATTTGTATGTAAGTAGCTTTAATAAATTAAAAATAAGAAATAGTAATGAATTTAATTTTAATAATGTCATCTCGAATTTCCAGCGAAAAACGAAGCGAATATGTACTACGGGGGAGATAATCAACAACCATCTACAGCTCCTCCACCATATCCCGGCCCGCCAGAACCAACAGCGCCAACCCAATACCAGCAAGTTGTTCATGGAACCACCGTCATACACGGAGCCACTGTAGTACATCATGGGCCAACCATGATGCCAACAGTAGTTCCTGCTGTAGTTGTTGGACGTCAAATGGGTCCTACAGCAACGGTCTACGTGTGCAAGTCGTGTAACCAACAAATCGTTACCAGGGTGGATCGAAGCCCAACGATGCGCACTCATTTATTCGCGTTGATCCTGTGCCTTGTTGGGTAAATATAAATATATCTTAATATATATATATAATTACGTGTCACGTTTTGAAATAATACTAGTTTTTACGGAATTTATCGCGTATATTTAACTTTTTAAATACCCGACGTTTCGAACGCTTTACAGCACTCATGGTCATGGTCTTTAGCGAGGATTTGCGGTCTATCAAATCTGATGTAGTGACGGGGGCGATCCTGTACGTGTTCACAGACTGCAGACTTCCCGGAGCGTCGATTCTTCACATCAGCTATATGTTCTGCAGTCTGTGAACACGTACAGGATCGCCCCCGTCACTATATCAGATTTGATAGACCGCAGATCCTCGTTATAGAACACCGATTCCTTCCAAGGATGATTCGCGAGGCTATTGAAATCAAAAAACATCCTAATTTCAATAGAGAAGATGGCTGGGTGCTACCATCTGCTTGGGATCCTATAATAAATAAAATTAAATCCCAACCCAAGCATACAACTGCAAGACTTCAAGATACCATAATTTCATACTGTATAGATCGGAACAAAAGTTAAATTTTAATCTATGGTAACCGCGGTTAACTATGACATATGGACGTTGAACATCTCAGTCCCGCCCGTGACCATGAGTGTATGAGTGAAACGTCGGGTATTTAAAAAGTTAAATATACGCGATAAATTCCGTAAAAAACTAGTATTATTTCAATGTGTAGTGTTCGTGTAAATATATGAAATCATTACGTATCACGTTGTTTGTGCGCGATGGACTCCTAAACTGCTTAACCGATTTTAATCAAATTTGCACACCGTGTGCACTTTGGTCTAACTTGAGAGATAGGATAGTACCTACTTTTGTCCATGAATGACCTACAATAATTTTTTTGCGAATTTAAGGATTTTTAATAGGATATGACAAAGGATCGCCGAAAAGGACAGAACAACGTCTGCCTGGCAAGCTAGTAGATTTTAAATCTGTGACTTGTTACGAACTACCGAATGGCTAAATGATCAATCTCACTACTATGTAGGGAGTTCGAACTTTAACCGATGTCTTCGGAATAAATTGTGCTTTGACTGTCACACCAGCTGTCAGAGGTAAACTGACACAGATGATTGGCACAATCACCTTCCTAATAACAATTCAAAATATTAAAAACTGCATATTCCCAACCCTTTCAAAAAAGCGTGGCAACTATGGAAAACATTCCCCCTATGAAACAATCTATGGGGGACGCCTATGTTTAGCAGTGGACTTGTGAAGGGCTGCAACAATGACGATAATGATATTGGTAGGCCAATCTAGACTGTTGTTTTTTTTTTTACTATGATGATAAAATTTTTCATATCTTAGGAAACACCGTTAACCGTGAAACTTACCGATGGTAAAATAATGATTTAATTTTTTGCTATTTTCTAGGTGCTGGCCATTTGCATGTTTACCCTATTGCGTGGATTCTTGCAATAACGTCGATCATTATTGTACAAACTGTGGTGCTTATATTGGGTCGTATATAAGCTAAAAGATTTACCGTGTTTTACATCATCCTGATATTGATGGAGCATATTGTCATTTCTATCAAAACGAACATATGTATATGTTTATGAGTTTAGTTTTACGTATTTAAAGTAGCGATAACCTTGTATAATAAACACACCGGCACAATTAGCGGAACACAAAAAAAGCAGGATTTTAAAATCTTTTACTTGAGGAACTGGCCAGTTATGATATTTTTTTAATTTATTGTCAAATTCGAAAATAGAAAATTAGATGACATACACTTTTTTCATTCATTTGTTTTATTTTCCCGAACAATACGTTTTGAATAACTACGTAATTGTAATTTTTTTGAAAAATTGCACTTAATGGTTTTTTTATAAATTTGTTATTCTATACGCAATTTTGTTTATTAAAAGATCTTTATTATGCCTGACTTAACATCACTGGAAATCATTAGGGCTGATGAAATGAGAAGAAAATGGCCATACCTACAGATCGATTGCCTCAAGGCTTCGTCGACCAGTATCAACGATTCATCGCAGCATCCAGCGGTACAGATCGTCTAATTCTCTTGTGAGGAGGAGGGGTCAAGGTAGAAAAAGATGTACATCGAGGCGAGATGACAGTTTTTTACAACTTGGAGTTCGTAGGAATACGCGATTAACGGCTGTACAAGCTCGAAATGAACTGGAAGACGTTCGAGGAGTACGAGTAAGTGAGCGTACAGTTCGCAGGAGATTTGAAGAAGTTGGTTTAGGGTCGTATATACCTGCCAAAGGCCCAAAACTTGAGAGACGTCACCGCGTAAACCGATTAAGCTATGCGCGAGAACATCGTCATTGGGATTTGAACGAATGGCAGCAGGTTCTCTTTACTGATGAGTGCAGAGTTCCTTTAAAACAGATCGATGGGAGACAGCGAATATGGAGATGCAAAGGAGAACGCCACATACAGTCTAATTTTGAACACGTAGTGGCTTATGGTGGCGGCTTGAATATGGTTTGGGGAGGGATATGTTTGGGAGCTCGCACGGAGTTAGTGATAGTCACAAGAGGGACCATGAACATGTTGTACCATTTGTACCCTTTTATTGGTGAAGACTTTATTCTATATAATGCAAGATAATGCTCGTGCTCATAGTGCACAATCGGTACAGGCATATCTGAGCCACGTAGGTATACCAGTGATGCAGTGGCCAGCAAATTCCCCCGATATGAGGCCGATAGAGCATGTCTGGGACTTGCTAAAAAAGAAGGGTTAAATCCAGAATGCCACCCCCCAACAATCTGAATGAACTTGGAAATGCATTACTTGAGGAGTGGAAGCGGTTTCCTCAAGAAATCATCGATAACATAATGTGTAGCATGCCCAGACGAATGGAAACCGTAATCAGAGCAAGAGGGGGAAACACTCGTTATTAATTTTGCTTTGATTTTATTGTTAAATCATTTAATACTTACTTTTTTATTTTTTGTGATGGTTCATAATCATCTAAAAATTTCACTTATTTCAAATTTCTTTATTGTTCAATAAAAAATAACGAAGACTTTTCAAAGTCGTTGATAAAAGATGTTAATCAATTTGTTATTTTGTGTCTAATTACATTTTCATCAAATATATGCGTTATTATCTCATATTCTCACTTTTTTTCTGTTCCGCTAATTGTGTCGGTGTGTATATTAGACAATGTGCTGATTTTGCAATGGTTACTTTTTTATAGACATAGGCTGACCAACAAGCACACAGTCCACTTGATAGTAAGAGTATACCGTAACTCATAGATATTTACATAAATGTAAATTCGATTAAGAATCAAAATGCAGATGCGTTGTCACTCCTGAGGATTAATATGGAATGCCTCTCGTCTAGTAAAAAGGGTCTCCAGTTCTCTACACTCACCATATGAAACACAGCAGCATTAATCTGCTATTTTACGCAGATATTCTGTGAGAGTGTGGTCCTTCCTCGGTCGAGCCGACCTATTCAACCTGTTGCTGAAGCGTGGCTCTACCACGTACAGAAAGAAGCTTCCTTCACATAAAGTAACCTTCAAACAAATTAAAACCTAACTGGATAATATGATAGTGAAACAAACTATTTTATTTATTCAACTGTGAATATTTGCTTACATTGTAATTTTGAATTTATTTTGCTCATGTGTTTTATCCTATGAAGAACTTTACCCGATGGTTGAAAAATCGGCCCTTGTAAAAAATAAAGTAGATTTTATTTTAAATGCACGTACAACATACTGTTTTTCCTAGTTTTAATTAATATATTAGATTTAGTGGCTTTGACAGAGGCCAAGAGAATTACTTCCATGCAATACTTTGGTTTGTTGTTTGTAAATATAAGTACATAAGTTAAGAGCTGATTTATGTGAGCTGATTTTTGTGTGCTGAATTATGTTATCCATTAAATAAACTGACTGAAAACACAAGTTAAACAATTGAATTATTTTATTCATGCATCTATGTATAAAAATCTTGTGTATTATTATATTAATATCCTGCATTTGATGACTGAAAAGTCAGCCCTAACGAAAACAAATGAACCCTTCCTGTATATAAAAGTAAAGGAGACTTTTTAAAGTTATGTTTTTATTTTTATAATAATGATATTTATTGATTTATTTAAACTCTATTGTTTGTATCCTAAGATAAAAAATCCCGGACTTATAATATCTACGGCTGTTACCGGTAACCGTAGTCAAAAAAGTCAAAGTAATGTGAAGAAATATTGTGACAGATTCAACAATTTTTATCGTCATCATCTCATCACAACATCTCTACACAGTTTCACTGCTGAACATTAGCCTCTCCCAAGGAATGCCACAAAACACCAATACTGTCCGGCTGAGGTTGCTTAAAGTCGGTTATCGTGCTATGGAGAAGGCTATGCCCGGAGTTTCTGTAACATAGTATCCGCAACTATTGCATAACTATTCTTTATATAGGCAAATTCGAAAAACCTATAACCGATACTAAAAAAGGGTTCTGGAGTGGCAGCGTCGTACCGGTAATCGAATTTAATATGGTCCGTACTAAGTGAAAAACGCACTTACAATCTACCTGATGATAAGTGGCTACTGAGGTGCATAGGTACCTGCGGACAACATTAAACAAAGAAGGTTACAGATATGTTGTCACCTTTGAGGATTAGGATGGAATGACTCATAGACTAATAACACAGGCAGTATTTTTAGTCTGTGAGGCACTCTATACTCTGCAGAAAGGAGCACAGCGGTGCGAGTACTACTATTTGGCGGTGGAATTAGAAGAGAGAACATTTTCTCAGACGGATTATTAGGCAGAAAAGGAGCCCCAATACCTAGTAAAGATAAAAAATGGATGAAAACATGATAAATCTTGCGTGTCCTAATGCGTCACGTATCCCAGTCGAAATAGATTATTTACTACAAACACTAAAATTCCTGATAGTCTCAAATAGTAGATACTCGAAAAAATATTTTTTAATTTGGGGGATAAGTCGCTCGCGTCCGTAGGCTTTGACCACCTGTTCCTAGGCCCACCCTACATGTGTCCCCCGGGTGGTGCTAAATGAGCGACAAGCCGATACCACAGACTCGGCTCCACGCCGTGGTAGCGGCGTTAAATATACCACCCCATTTCGCACCATGAGGAATCAAATTAAAGAAATGGCCCCGAGTTCCCGGCGCCCCTTTAATGGGGCAGGGGTGCGAAGAATCTCCGGGAGGAAAACCGGCGACGAGGTTCGCCACCCGTCACGTTCTGTCTTTCGGAGACGCGAAACAGTGGATTGCAGAGGCCCGTCTGGCTACGTTGAATGTATGTGGCGCAATGAATGATAAAATGGATAGTATGCGATATGATGTATGACAGAGGAATAGATGTGTTATGCGTAAATGAGACGAAAAGGAAGGGGAAGGATGTCACTACACATGGCATGTATACCGCATACTGGTCTGGTGTAGACGAGATCGAGCGGGCATGCCAGGGAGTAGGTATCATCCTTTCAGAAAGAATGGGCCAATGTGTGAAAGAGTATGAATGTATAAGCCCAAGACTGCTATGGATACGAATGAAAGTGGGCTTAAAGAAGTTGTTTGTGTTAGGGGTCTACGCCCCAGACATGTCTAAGCCCACTTATATCCGAGAGCAGTTTTGGGAAATGGTAAGGATGGTGTTAATGAAGTGTAAGGGAAATGAAAATATTTTTATGCTAGGAGATTTTAATGGAAGGTTGGGGTAGGAGCTTGGTTATGAAAGGATATTGGGAACGTTTGGTGATGAAAGTATAAATGTGGTGAAAGTCTCCTCACCGTATGTATGGAAAATAATCTTTTTGTGACGAACACTTGCTTTCGCCACAAGAGGATTCACATGTATACTTGGGAAAGAGGTGACGATAGAAGCATGATAGATTTCATAATTGTGGATGAAAGATTGAGAGGCGCAGTGGACGAGAGTTTACCGGGGTTCTAACGTAGGAACGGATCATTATTTAGTTTTATGCCGAATTAATGGTCTATTCAGGCGTTGGCGCCATCGATCGTCTGTGTCTACCACTGCGTTATAGCGTATTAGAACAGAAAGGTTACAAGATGAAAGTGATAAAAACAAGTTCAAATGTAGACTGAAAGAAAATATAAGTGGTTTGGATAAATTATGTTTGAAGGAGTCAGACTTGGAGAATATATGGCAAAATGTAAAGAAAATTTTAGTGGATGCAGCTACCGAAGTATGTGGTGTTAGTAAGAGAAAGAGTGAAAGGAAAAATAATACGTTATGGTGGGATGATGAGATACGTATGGAAGTTGAAGCAAAGAAGAGAGCATGACTAGATTTACTACCAACAAAGGCTGCTAATTCTAGTGGTACGAATGGTGATATTGAAAGAAAAAGGGCAGTCTTTAGACATCTTAATAAGAGAGTAAAAGAAGTAGTTGAAAGAAAAAAGCAAGAAAGAACGGATAAGAATGATAGAAGAATATCGGATAACTTCCAGGCAAATATTAAAATGTTCTGGAAACTTATAAGA